TAAAAAAAAAAAACATAATATCTCCAAATGATACTGTAGCTGTTAGGTGTTTGTGTGTGTAAGTAAAGTACACAGTGTCAAAAATCACCTAAGGACTTAAGTAAGGTATGATTATTTTTTCTTTCCAGACAGGGTCTCCCTATGTAGTTCAGTCTGGTCTCAAACTCACTATGTAGCCCAGGCTGGCCTGCCTCAGCCTCCCGAGTGCTGGGTAATGGTGTGCACCACCATGCCCAGCTAAGCAATTCGAGATTCTACTTTCAACCAAATAACAGACAACAGACGATAGTTTTTGAGACACTGTCAAGCTCTGGTGACATGAAAATCAAGTAAAATGCCACCCTGCCTCCAGCCACGTCCGCATCCCTCCCCGTTCATCGTTCAGGAGAGTGGATCCCAGTCCCTCCACCTGCGAAGGAGTCTCCCTCGTGCCCCGCAGGCCACAGTTCCTCCAAGCCCGCTGCGCGACGTCTGTCTGTCCCAGGGCCCCAGCTTTGAACATCTGCTGCTTCCGCTAAGTGCAAAGTCTTCCCAGTCAAGGACTGGGTCTTGTCCTGTTTGCGTCCCTGGCCCCAAGCATACATCACAAACTGACGGTTTAGGAGGAGCGTGTGTTGCTCCGTCTGGTCTGCCCCGCCCCGCCCCCGGTTTGCGGCTCCCGGCAGTGTATTTATTGGATCGCATCTGGAGTCCACGACTTCGTTCCAAGTCTCTCAGCCGCGCGCCAGCCCAGCCTGGGGGCCGAGCTCAGATGTGGCCCGAGAGCCCCAGGTGGCCGTGTGACCTCCAGGTACACCTGAAAGCACCCAGCAGGAAACTCCTTCCTCCATAGGGAGGAATCCAGTTATTTGCATGCACGAATGCGCGCACAGACTCAGGAAGGAGGGGCAACTCCTGATGTTATGTCAGCGCCTGGAAGCACAGCAGCTGCCCACACCTAGCTCTGCGAACTTTCTCCATTATATAAATTCCAGGTGTTTTGTTTTGTTTGTTTTTGCTAAAACCAGTTTGAAATGAATTTATGACATTTGCAAGGGACAGAGTCATGTCATTTATTCATTCATTGATTCATTCAGCAAGAGTTTATTAGCCAGACATGATCAAGAGGGTCTGTAATCCCACCACTTGGGAGGCTGAGGCAGGAGAGTCTTGAGTTTGAGGGTAACCTGGACTACATAGTGAGTTCAGCCTGAACTACACAGTGAAACCCTCTCTCAAAAAACCAACCAACCGTGCTGGGGATTTAGCTCATGCTGCAGACCAGCTGCAGTCAATGTCGATGTAGGGTGGGAAGGGGAGATGTCCTGGGCCAGTGATGAGAAAATAACCTCCTCAAGCAATGTTCAGGTTCCCTCTGATAAGTCTCAGGGTCTGATTTATTTTTATATCTTTAAGCAATAGCTAGGAGGCATTGGGCGGAACATGTTTACATTTTAGGTTGCCTTAGCAATTTCTATTGAAGTAAAGGGTTTTTTTGCTAAACAGAGTATATTTTTTCTAAGCTGATTCATTTCATTGAACATCATGAATACATTTTTAAAAATTACAATTGTCCCCTTATTTACCCACACCTAAGCAGAACAGAAGGTAACTTAATCAAAATCTCTATATCAGCGGGGGTACAAGCAAGATTTAATCAATTAAATGTCAAACTTGTGGTCACCAGCTGGCCCTTGAGAAACTGCACAATGGTTAATATAGTTTGCCATTAGCTCTCTATTTTCCTATATCTCTGTTCATCTTAGCTAAATGTCATTTGGGTTCATAGTCCATGAGCAGGAGATATTTACAGCACTTTGAGAGATACTGAGTAACTTGTCTCCTTAATGCATTTACCTGTCTTAACTTTCTTTCTGTTTCCCATTTTCCGCTATTTCTTACATCTAAAGTCTGTCCTTTCAATCTCTTCATAAGACCCCTTTAGTAAAAAGAATGTCAGCAATAAGAGGGGGAGTCATAGTAGTGGGGGAAACAGAGGGGGTTTTAGGAGAGGTTTCTTTAGAAGTGGATGTGGCAATAGAACTAAGAGAAACTGGAATTTGGGACTTGTGAGCCAGATCAGATTTTAATATATCATTACCAATTCACCTCATGGAGAGTTTGTTGTTAGTCACAAACACAATGACTCCTGTAATCAGAGTAACAATTATAAACATTATGGCAAGGAAAAATAAAACATGAGGGTATGATGTGTTCCACCCTTTCTTTCCCCCAGCTGGAACTTTGTCAAGCAGCAATGGAGGTCGGTTGGGCTTTGCCAAGCTCAGTGGCTTCACCACCTGCTGCGCAAGCACAAGGACCCGAGTTTGATCCCCAGTACCAAAAAAAAACCAAACAAAAAACCAACCAACCAACATGTTAATAAACACAACATGAGCATTATGGACAGAAGGTTCTGTGGGAGGTCTGAGAGGGGCATGGTTAGTGTGACTAAAATCCAGCTGGAGAAGAAGTTGCTTTAAGAGGCAAGGTGGCCAGGCAGTGCATCCTTCTAATCCCAGCTCTCTGGGAGGCTGAGGCAGGAGCATCGCAAGTTCAAGCCCAGCCTGGGCAACTTAGAGACTTAGCAAGAACCTTCTCAAAATAAAAAAAAAGCTGGAGATGTAGCTCATTGCAAAGGTCGTGCATTCAATTCCCAGTAATGGAGAGAGAGAGAAAAGAGGGAAGAGAAAGACAGAGAGAGAGAGAGAGAGAGAGAGAGAGAGAGTTAGAGAAATAGGGAGTACATCCCCCAAAAAAGGAGGACTGGGCTGGGCAGAGCCCACAGGCCCGAAAACGCATGCCTCTTCCCAGCTTGCAGGCCCTCCACAGGGCACAAGCACCAGGACAGGGATGGAATTCTTAGGGCGCCTGTGGGCCACACCAGGGAGTCCAGCCCTTTGGTTAAAGGAAGACATTTAAGGGGGCCAGAGATTTACCTCAGTGGTTCCGGTGCCTGCCTCAAAAGCACAAGGTCCTAATTTCAATCCCTGGTACCAAAAAAAAAAAAGGAAGGCATTTAATCTGCAGAGCATGTTTTCTTTAAAACAAATTTTTTGGGGGCCGGGGATTTAGCTCAGTGGTTTCGCCGCCTGCTGTGCAAGCACAAGGACCCAAGTTTGATCCCAGGTACCAAAAAAATAAAAAAAATTTTTTTGCAGATGTTTCTTGACTTACAGTGGGGTTGCATACAGATAAACCCATTGGAAATTGAAAATGCAGTGGTGCCTGGTTCACGAACACTTTTGTTTGCAAACAATTTGTTTCACAAACAGAAGCATTTTGGCAAATTTGTGTTTTTGTTTGTGAACTCTGCATCAGGTGACAACATAACCATGGCCATCATTCCTGCATGGACAGAAACATGGCCATCTTTTCTAGATTCATGGAACGAATTAATTTCATGAACAAAGGTACTACTGTATTGCAAGTTGAAACTGAGTTGCTTTTGGAGTGCATGCTTGGAATCTTAGTACTCAGGAGTCTGAAGCAGGAGGATCTTCAGTTTGAGGCCAGCTTGAGCAACTTGGCAAGATCCTGCTTCAGAATGTTATTTGTTTATTCATTTTTATTATTTTATTTATTTATTTTGGTGGATCAAACTCAGGACCTTGTGCTTGTGAGGCAGGTGGCAGAACCCCTGAGCTAAATCCCTGGCCCTAATTCATTTTTATTTGAGACAGGATCTCACTATGTAGCCCAAGCTGGCCTTGAACTCGTGGTGATCCTTCTGCCTCAGCCTCCCAAATGCTTGGCTTCAAAATTTAAAAAAAAGGCTGAGGATGTAGCTCAATATGAAGACCCTGAGTTTAGTCCCCAGTATGGTTAAAAAGAAAAAAACACTTAACCCAGTGCACACTGCCACTTAGCCTAGTTCACCTTAGAGTATTTCCATTAGCAAAGGGGGAAAAAAGAATATTTGCACGAATCCACAACTGGCCCAAATCACCCCTATTTTTTCAGTGTGAGCATCCTGGGTGGTTACCTGCATCCACTGTTGCCCTGGTGACTGCTGGCGGGCATCATGGGAGCACTGGACTGCGCCCTGGGTGCCTGGGGAAGGTCCCCAGCTCACAGTACTGCTCCTGCAGCTTTGAGGCCATCATAAAGCTGAACCAGTCCAGGCCGGTACTTTTCTATGTAAATCTGCAGCAGTAACCGGATGATCAGAGAGCAAACCCCGGCCTGGGTCGAAGGCCGAAGGCTGCAGCTAGTGCAGTGCGGGACCTGACCGAGCAGTCGTGGCTGGGTCTCCTGACCCATGGAAAGGATTTGGGGCCTGGAGGCTCAGGGGTGAAGGCCGGCCTGGTGTGCGTGAGGCCTTGGTTGTGTCCCAGCACAGAAAAAGCCCAAATGTGGACCTAGATAATGCCCTAGAGACCTGGGATCTTGTGGGTCTCTGTTCTTCCCAGCTGGAAGCCAGTGCCTTGGTCCACAGCTCCTTCAGGTAGGAGCCAGGCCCTCCCTGGGGAATCAGCCCCCTGGTGGTGCGGGGGCAGCAAAGGGGACATGTGTGGCCCAGGAGGCATACTCTCCTGTCTGGGTGCCACCCCACACACGACCACCCTTCCTCAGGTGATCTAAAGCCAAGGTAACACTATGGCTGTCCCTGCCCGGCGAAGCCTGCAGCCCGGGTGCAGCATGCCCTTCATCCTTTCTCCCATCCAGCACTGAGGCAGCCTGTGGTTCTGTGGCCTTGACATCTCAGGGTTACAGAATTGTTTCCCCCAAGCAGACTGCAAGCCAGGGTATCTGCCTTCGAATCCCACTCTGCCCTTCCTAGCTGCGTAACCTTAGACAAGGTCTGTTTTGAGACAGGTCTCACTATGCAGCCAAGGCTGACCTTGAACTCTCCAGAAACCCTCCTGCCTCAGTCCTCTCAGGGCCAGGATTACAGGCCTGTGCCACCACAGCTGGTTTGAAACCCCGGCAGGTTTATAACCAAGTGTGCTCTTCTCTCTCCATCCCCTCCCCTCCCCACCTTCTGAGTAGCCATCTTCAGAGAATACAAAGGTCACAGATTCTTTTAGAAAAGCAGGTTTATTGGTCGGGCTGTCATAGGCCCAGCAACAGGAGCAGCTGCTCACGCCACAGCTCAGGCCCCTTCAGCCCCTCAGCACCAGGGGACCACGTCCCTGCCCTCCAACCACTCAGGGCCAAGAAAGAAAAACAAGAAAAAACAAAAACAAAGCTAAGCTCCATGTATATAAAAGGTTCGTGTCCCCAGCACCCTCCCTCTCCCCAGCAATCAGCTGTGACCCAAAAAAGCAGGGCGGGAAGGGACAGGAGGGGCTTGGCCCTCCCTGGGGGTCTTGCCTTCCCACAGGCCTTTGCGGCTGAGACTGAGGGGCTGAGGGCTGCAGACAGCACCCACCCCAAGTTTCTGGAAAGGCACCCCAAGTGCACAGATGTCCTCGAGGCCTGCAGCTTTAGGGTGCAAGCTCTGGGAAGGCTCTCCACACCGTGGCCAGGAAGGTCCGGGTCACGGGTGTCTCCCTCTGTCCTGGGCTAGCCCGACCCCCTTTTCTGCCCTTCTCCCATCCTCCCTGCTGTCCCCTCAGGCTGGGCTTCCCGTCGAGGTCGTCCCTTCCTCATACGGTCCTCCCACTGCCTCCAAAACACTCACTGTCCTGAGAACCCCGACAGGCAGGGCTTCTCTCCCGAGTTTCTCACATCTGTCCTCATCCAGCCCACCTTCTCCTCTTCCTTCTCCTGCTCCATGGGCACGTGTCCCCACCTCCGGGGATCCAGGTCCCCAGAGACCCTCGGCCTTGGGGACGGGAAGGAGGCCAAGTGAGGACCCGCTGGGGAGAACAAGGCCGAGGACTGCTCCCTTCTCCATTCCACCCAGCTGCGCCCACACAGGGGCTCTTTCTTCCTTTTATTTTTTGGTGCTGTATGGGAGACTGAACCCAGGGCCTTCCCACTGCGTTCCATCCCTAGCCCTTTATATTTTGTATTTTGAGACAAGGCCTCGCTAAGTCACTACGTTGCTCAGGCTGCGCTGGAACTCGGCGATCGTCCTGCCTCAGCCTCCCAGGGGAGGTGTTTTAGAAACATCTCAGCCAGGTCGGGAGCGGGCAGAGAAAGAGAGAATGCGACAGAGAGAGCAAGCGGGCAGGAGACAGTGGGCAGGGTTCAGTCGCTGTCGCTTCTGTCCACCAGCACGGCGTCCGACTCCTCGATGATCTCCAGCAGCGCGTGCACGTCGGGGCTGCTGGCGCGCAGCAGGTCGCCAGCATCGTCGCGCTCGGGCCCGGGCTCGTCGTCGGCGGCATCCACCGGCACCATCTCGGTGACACGGGCCGGCTCGGCCGCACCCTCGCGGATCTTCTTGACGTGGAAGGTGAAAGGCGGCACCTTGTAGACCGCCGTCTTTGAGCGCGCGTACACCACGTGGTCGGGCGTGAACGACTTGCGCAGCTTCTCGCGAGAGGACCGCAGCTTTTCCCGGCGCTCGGCTGGCACGAGGCGCGCGCCCAGCGTGGTCACGCGCCGCTCCAGCGAGTGTCGCGTCTTCTCCAGGTTCTCGCGCGTGCGCACGCGCGTCTTCTCCAGGTTCTCCTTGGTGCGCAGGCGCGTGCGCTCCATCTTCTCGCGCGAGAAGGCCTTGCGCAGGTCGTCCACGCGCCGCATGCCGCTGCGCCGGATCCGCTCCGCGCGCGACTCCTCGATCACCTCCTCCACCTCCACCGCCTCATCGGAGGACAGCTCGGGCGCCGCCGCGTCCTCCTCGTCCTCGGGCCGCGCGCCCTCACCCGCATCCTCGCCCTCGGGCAGCGCCTCCGCCTCCTTGAGCGATTTGCTCACACTCAGCTTGGCCGGCAGTTTCACCTCGTCCTGGGGGAAGAGAGGGCAGAGCAGGTTAGAGGGGGCTCGGAAATCAGCCTGACCTGCGCCGCGGGGACTGAGCTCAGGGCCTTGGCATGGAGCTGTACCCCTAGTCATCATCAGCAGTTGCCCAAGCTGGGCTGGAACTTGCGACCTTCCAGGCTCTGCCTCCCAGGCGTGCGTGACCATGCCGCTGAATAAGCACGGTCGTCGGGTGGACAGCGAGCGGAGGTAGGAAACCCGGACCGCAGTACCACTGCGCCTGGACCAGGTCTCCCCGCGCCCTCCAACCCTATCCCTGAGCCCTGTCGTCGGCCTCGGGAGACTCAGCCTCACTTCGGCGGTGGCAGAGCGCCCCCTGGTGTCCGGATCGCACACCGCCCAAACCAAGCCAAAGGCAAGCCGGCTGCCGAGTAGGTCTGGGTTGGGGGTTAGCGCGTGGCGACCAGGGGGGCCCCCCCGCGCAGGATGACTTGGAAAGGAAGGAGGCGTTTCTCAGACTCCATCGTCCCGAAACCCCACCGTCGACCTCCTGGCTTTGGCTCCAGCCCGGCCCCCCACGTAGACACTGAGGAAAGAGGGCGACGCCTGGGCTTCTGGGCTTCCCGCCCGCTTGTAAGGGCCGGATGACCGCTCCTCCTCCCAGGGCTGGGGCAGGGTAGTCCCCATCGATCACCTTGACCCTGGGGTGCAGAGCTAACCGCTGCTTCTCTTATCCTGAGGATCCAGCACCACCCCTTTTCCATCTCGGAAAATGTTCGAGGACCCTCACTCACGTCAGGATCCCCCACCACCCCCCCGAAAACGAGAGGCGCCCGGGGCAGAGGGGGAGCCAAGAGAACTGACTCAACAAGAGGAAACGAACAGGAGGCCAACGTGGCACTGCGTGGAGGCTGAGGCAGGAGAATCACGAGTTCAAGCCCAGCCTGGGCACTGCAGAAGGAAAGAGTGGGTTTTGTGAACATCATTTCCCGAAATTGTAAGAAAATCCCATCTCCCGAGAAAATAGAGCAACGTAAAATGGTGCCCCAGGCGCACGTGCACACACGTACACACACCCCAGTCACAGGCGACTCGGACGTAAACACACCTACAGAAATCCCGTCCCCACCCCACCTCCTTCCTCTTCCTCCCACTCAATCCCCCAGGGTTTCCGGGTTTATATTGGAAGCTGGGAAACACCCCCCCCCTTCCTTTCCTTCCTGTCAACAGCCTTAGCAGGGACAAGGGGACTGCTGACCCTCCCCTCCGCGACCCTCCGGGCACGGGCTCTGCAGGGCACCCAGCCGCCTGCTCAGGACTACATCTCCCAGCGGCCCCGATACCTGGCCCCAAAGCATGCTGGGACTTGTAGTCTCCACCTGCCGTGAGCGGCTCAGGGTTGTCGGGTGTGGGCAATGGCTCTGCCCCTCTGCCTCTTATTCCCCGAGGCTTTGCAGGCTTTGCGCGGTGTTTCCCTGTACTGAAGGTGGAGAGGGCTGGCCCCTCTGAGTTCCATCTGATTTTAGGCGCACCCTTGGGTGTTCTCCCGACACCCTCGCCCGCCTGCTACTGGAGACTGACCATCAGTACTTGGGCACCATTTTTGGACTCTTTGGAATCTAAACTCTACTCCTCTTTATCCATCGACACCTCGAATCTACCTGTACCCCCAGTATCACAAAAGTTTCGTTTCTGACCCAGCTTGGTGGTGCACACCTATCATCCCAACACTGGAAGCTGAGGCAGGGGAGGATGACTGAGTTCAAGGTCAGCCTGCACTACATAGCAAGACCCTGTCTCAAGTAGTTTCATTTCTGACCCCAGCTTCACAGCCTCCCAAACTAAAGCCAGCCACTGCCCACCAGAGGGAGAGAGCCTGCCTCTCACTGGACTCAGAGGTGGACCGACTGGGGAGGGCCTGGGGGACAGCGGGGGAATATTCAGGAAGCAGCCCCAGCTGCTGGGAAGCAAATCCACATTGTCTCCCGCCCCGCCCCGCCCCAGCGCCCCCAGTCTCCCGGGCTCTGCAGCAGAGCTGGCTGGGTTTCCTGGCCTCGGCTTTGGAGGTAGTGCGGTCTGGGCCGGGGCTCCGGTGGGCTAAACCGTGGGGCTCAGGATGGGGGTCCCTGGGGGCGATGGCTGCCACCTGACCCGGGGCTTCCCGGCCAAGTAGGGAACAGGAGCAGCAGCTGGGCTGGGCCTCAGCCCTGCGCGGGCTGCCCAGAGTCCCCCTCTGCTAATGGCACTCTCGCCCCCCCCCCCCCAGGCGGGTTCCCCGTGACTCACAGCCCTGGAGCGTGCTATGGGCCCACCCACCCGGGCTGTCGGTTGCTAAAACAGCTGGGACCCGAGCCCCAGGGCAGGCACAGGGCCCACGCACCTCCGCCCCACCCCCAACCCCTACTTGCGCGGCTTGTTCTGTTTTCCTGTTTTTTATTCAACAAAACCACCACGCCAAGCAGGCTGGGTTTCCAGTTACCTTTAATGACCAGGTCTGGACAAGTCACACAGGCCCCACCACCAGCAAGCGCAAGGACCCCAGCCCAGCCAGGCACCCAGGGAGTCTCCTCACTTCCTCCACCCCAACCCTGAGCTTAGATCTATATAAGGTTACAACTTATGGGAAGTTGAGGCAGGAGGATTGCAAGTTTCAGCCTAGCCTGGGCAAATTTAGTGACTTAGGCCTTGTTTCAAAATTTAAAAAGGGATGGAGCTCAGTGAGAAGGCTTGGGGTTCAGTGTCGAGTAGTGCGCAATAATAGTTTAACTGAGCACCTACTATGTACCTGGCCCTCAGGAAGACTTCACATGTAAGGGACAAGGGCCACACCTGGGTTGGGGCCTCTCTTGACCTGGTGCATCAGTAGTGGCAGCAGGTCCTTCCTCCTGCTCCACTGCACATTCTCCACAAGGGACGCTCTCCCCAAGAAGGAGTGTGGATTGGGGGGTGAGGGGTGCGGAGACATCACAGTGGTGTGTGATGCTCCAAAGAGCACCCTGGGAGGCTGAGGCAGGAGAGTCTCAAGGTGAAGCCCCGGCTGGGCAATTCAGCAGCTCAGCAAGACGCCGTGCCAAAAATAAAGGTTGGGGATATAGCTGAGGGCCTGGCCCTGGATTCAATCCCCAATGCCTCTTTTAAAACGGTGGAAAAGGGGGCCTGGGATTTAGCTCAGTGGTTTCGCCGCCTGCTGCGCAAGTGCAAGGACCCGAGTTCGATCCCCGGTACCAAAAACAACACACACATACACACACAAAAAGAAAAATGGTGGGAATCCTGCTCAGGGAGGCAGGGAGGCTCAGCACCCAACAACAGGTCCCCTTCCGCCTCCGAGTTGGCAGTGTCAAGGGCCCCGCCCAGAGCAGGATCTGGCAAACACGGATCTCTTCGGAAAACAGTTTCTAAAGAAACTGGAAAAAACAAGCATAAATATTTTCCTCAGCTCTGGGGAGCGGGGGCAGCAGGGAAGAAGGGCCTCCAACCCTGTGCTGAGAAGCGGTGGGGGCTCCTGGCCGCTCCACTCTGCAGCCTGAGCCGCTGCCTTTAAAGCAGAAACCAGGGACCATGGGCTGGGGATTTAGCTCAGTGGTTCGGGTGCCTGCCTCACAATTGCAAGGTCCCAAGTTTGATCCCCGGTAGCAAAAAAATAAATAAAGAAAAATAAAGCAGAAACCAGGACCCGGGCCCAGCCTAGCACACGCGAGGACATAGCTCGAAGCAGACACCCCAAGACCAAGCCAAACAGCAGGAGGGAGCCCCAGCCCGGTGCACACACCTGCGCCACGGACCCGGGGACCCTAGACGTCCCCAGGCGCTGCGGGCTCCCCTGGGCCAGGCCGGGGCCCGGGCTCGGGGTAATGGGGCAGCGTCCTGGGCTCAGTCTCAGGCAGGAGGTCAAAGGGCACGGTCCTGGGCGAGGCCGGGTCGCAGGGGGCCTTTGGCTTCTTCTCGGGCTGAGACAGGAAAGGGGGTTTCAGCCGGGGGGACACAAAGAGACCTCTGCGGCCTGTGGGTCAGGCGCGGCCAGGGTGGAGAAGCCACACTGGAAACGCTACATGCAGAGGGTGCTACATGCAGAGGGCGCAGGGGACAGGAAGGCGGTGGGTGAACAAACGTAGCTCCTGGCCCCGGCCCAACCCAGCCAGCTGGTGGGGACCGGAGTCAGACAGGGGAAAGAGGAGCGCCCTGTCTTCAGCTTCTGCTGTTCCCCGGGGCAGAGTGGGCACCATGCCGCCGGATGAGCAGGCTGGCGGGGAGAGGGCCATCCTGGCTGCTCCCCTTTGGCCGAATCCGTGTCTCCTGTGCCCCGAGCTCCACCCAGGGCTCAGGTCTCAGCTGCGGAACAGCACAGGGAATCAAATCGGCTGTCTCTGGCAGCTGGGCCTGGGGCCTAAGCACCTACCTGCCCCCCAGGGGCTGTGACCCAGGCCACCAGGATGGAGCCAGGAGCGGGACAGAGGAGCCGGCAGATCAGACAACAGCAGGGTCCAACAAGTCCTACCATCCCCAAACCCAGAGCAGCAGGTCGGGCTGCCTGCACGTACAGGCAGGAGCCACGGGTGGCAGGGAGCTGGAGCTGAGCCCCAAACGGCCCTCTCGCCTGGCGTACTGGTGCTCGCCCGTGATCCTGGCACTGGAGAGGCCGAGGCAGTAGGATTGCCCTGAGTTCTGGGCCAGCCTGGCCTACATAGTGTGTGTAAGACCAGCCTGAAGTACATAGCGAAATCCTGCCTCAAAAACCTAAAAACAAAACAAAACCGAGTAACGGCCCTCTCCCAGGCTAAGCAGGGTCCATGCAGGGGACGGTCCTTACACCTCGACCTTGTCCTCGCCCTGGCCCTGCACCAGGGACCACACACTGCACGACAGCAGCACACGAGGCTGAGCAGCTCATGGACACAAAGGTTGGCCACTTGTACCCAACACAGCATGCTGTGCACATGTGCGTGCACACACTCACACACAGGTGTGCCCAGCAGCCCTCGTGCCAGAGAAGAAAGGAGCGAGGACAGCCTGGGTCCAGGCCCCTCTCCCTGTCCCTGCAGGGTCCAGGAATCGAGTGCAGCGGGGGCGGCGGCAATTCCAGCTCCGGCTCAATCCTGACTCGAGCCTCTAGTGCCATTCCAAGGGGGACCACGAGGCTGATGTCGTCGTGGTCCCGGACTCAGGGGTGGGAAGGTCAATGGCGGAGCAGTCACAATGTCGGTCCCAAGGCTCAGCTCCGAGGAGCGCTTTAGTGATCATTGCCCGCCCCTCTGTGCCACTGCTCCTCCTTCCTCACTCTGACCTTCACAAGGCTTAGATTTTACAAGAAAAAGAAAAGGGCCAGTGTAGTGCTGCATTCTTGTAACACAGCACTCTGGGAGACTGAGGCAGGAAGGCAGCACGTCCGACCTGGCCTGGGCAACTTAGCAACACAGCAAAGCCCTGTCTCAGAAAGGACGAAGTAAAAAAATCCCTGGGTTCCATCCCTACTACTGAAAAAAAGAGAAGAGAAGAGGGAACAGGCAGCCATCGAGATCCCTGTTAGTCTTGGGAATGCCCCCCAAAATACCCTTTCTGCCATTCAGTGACCAAGAAAAATAAGCCACTTTGGAGGGAGGGCGGGATGGGGACCCCCTCCCTGGCCACCAGGCTTGGGGGACGACGGCCACCAGAGCCTAAGCTGGGCGGACTCGTGGGCAAAGGCTTGGCCGGCCGAGATTCACCTGGTGTTGAGAAAGGAAGGGCTAACGGGTGGGCCGGGATTTGGGGAGAAGCCAGAAAGCCCTCAGCCTCCGCTTCAGTGCCCATGGCCACCTAATCCTTCCAGTGCTTCCCATCCTGTCACCAAGAGCTCAGAACAGGCCCGATGGGTCACCGCTGCTGCTCACCAACTCCGCTGCATCAAAACTACTCCAGAAAGGGCCACGGGCCATGCCAGCGCCCGGGATCCCAGCACTCTGGAGGCTGAGGCAGGCGGAGGGCAAGTGCAAGCCCAGCCTGGGTAATTTAGCGGTTCAGCAAGACCTGGTCTCAAAATGAAAAAGGGCTGGGGACATAGCTCAGTGTGAAGGCCCTGGGTTCGATCCCCAGTGCTGGAAAAACAAACATAAAACCCCAACTATTCCAGATAGCAAATATTTCCTCCTTTCTGGGTTCTAAAATAGCTAAAGTAACTAAAAATATCCCGAAGTTCTGGGAGACTCATCTGCGGCGCAGTCCCAGCTCCCTGGCAGCTGGGTGTTGCCCAGTGGGGGCGTCCACTTGCGTTACTCAGAGGACCTGGATCGGGATTCACTTCCCACGGCTGCAGCCCAGCTGAGGCCACCTGCTGGGACGCCTGGCAGCGGGCTCTGGCTGTGGCACTTGGGAATTCCCTCTGCTCCCCGGGAAGAGCCGGGTGGCAGATGTCCTGGCCCACACTGGAGCCTTCCGACCCCACCCTCGGCCAAGTGGCCTCCCTCGAGCCCACAGTGGGGAGTGGGGGAAAGTGCCCCTTCCTCCAGGCCCTGCCCCAGCCCCTTGCCCAGCCTGTCTCCCTGCCTCCCCTTCGCCTTCCCAGCAGATCCGCCTTCCCTATTAGGCCTGCAGAGCTCTGGCCACTCTGGCCTCATTCCAGTCTCAGGCCCCACAGCCTGGCAGACCTCGGGGTGGATGGGACACCCCACACGGCCCCCATCTGGACGAACTCCACCCCACCTCAGCACCCTCTTTCTGGCTGTCCCCTCTCCCAGGGCTTTGCCGTTTAGTTCTGGAGACCTCCCCGGGGGTGGGGGCTCAACTAAAACCACTCTCTTCCTCCTCCAACCCCCTTGGCCCTGCTTAGTACAGATGGGGTCAAACCTGCCCTGGGAGTGAACGCCCCCCTCCCCCAGCTAGCTTTATTTCCTCATATGGAACTATTTATAATTTTTGGTGCTTTTTTTTCTTTCTGAGACAGGGTCTCACTATGTTGCCCAAGCTGGCCTTGAGCTCCTGGCGATCCTCCTGCCTCAGCCTCCCAACTGCTTGAATCACAGGTGTGTGCCACCACATCTGGCAAAATGTCTCTCTGGCACAGGGACTTTACCTGCTGGGGGCTGAGAACTTCCCCAGGTCCCCCAGTCTGGGACCCTGAGGGTGAGGTCACCCATCCAAGCTCTTCAGGGAAACCTGTACCCCACCAGCTCTGGTGAGCTGTTCCCACACCTGTGTTCCCTACCCTGAAGCCCCTGGAGGAGGCATGTCTGAAAACACCTCACAGCACTTGTGTGTGTGAGCACGTGCAAGCACACACATGTACAAAGGCACACACGCACACACATAGATACACATGATTATTCCGCTGCCACCAGGCAGTGAGATTAAGTGGAAGGAGTTCTGGGCAAACATTTTCCACCAGACAGTGCTGTACATGGGAGAAGCAAAGCTTTATAAAAGCTAAAATAAGGCCGGGGATTTAGCTCAATGGTTCCGCCGCCTGCCTCGAAAGCACAAGGACCCGAGTTTGATCCCCGGTACAAAAAAACCCAAAAAAACAAAACCTAAAATAGATGGGTGCAGTGGCACAACCTTGTAATCCTAGCAGTGGGGGAGGCTGAGGCAGGAGGGTCCCAAGTTCAAGTCCTCCCTGAAAGAGACCCTGTCTCAAAATAAAGAAGAGCCAGGGATATAGCTCAGTGTGAAGATCCTGGGTTCAACCCCCAGTACTGCAGGAGAGCGAGAGAGCGAGAGGGCGAGAGAGAGAGAGAGAGAGAGAGAGACAGAGAGACAGAGAGACAGAGAGACAGACAGAGAGACAGAGAGACAGACAGAGAGACAGACAGAGAGACAGACAGAGAGAGGGAGCAAATAAAAGGGGTGTGGGGCACAGCCCATAACCCCAAGAATCTCGGAGGCTGAGGCAGGACTGCAAGTCCCAGCCCAGCCTGTGTGTGGAAATCTAGTCTTCCTTTTCTTTCCATTCCCTTCCCTAGGGAGAGGAAAGGGAACAGAGCACAAAGGAGCCCTGCACCCAATGATTCCACAGGCGGAGGCGCTGAGATTCCCGGCTGCATTTGGGCTATGATGCAAAAACTGTACTTGTACCGGGCAGGGGGAACGGGGAGAGGGAGCTGCAAGGGAGGCAATAAAAGGTGTGGTGGGGCACGCCTGTGATCCCAGCACTCTGGGAGGCTGAGGCAGGAGGACTGCAAGTTCTAGCCGAGCCTGCGCAATTTAGACCTAGCAAGACCTTGCCTCAAAATACAAAAAGGACTGTGGACCGAGCTCAGTGCGAGCCCCTGTCCAATCCTCAGTACTAAACGGAAAGAGAGGCAACCAGCGGGCCGCCAGCGCCCCTGCCGCTCGGGCCGCCACCCCCGCAGGTATGCGGGTGATTCACGGCGACCTCCCGGCCCTCCCGCGCCCTCACGGCCCCGCCTCCCGCCCAAGCCGCTCCCCGAGACCACGGGGTCCCCAGGGCCCGCAGGCGGCGGGAGCGGATGCGGGGGCGCGGGTCAGGTGCGGGGCGGCGGGGCCCCCCGCCCGCGAGCGTGCCAGAGCCCTGAGTCACCGGCTATATCGGGGGCCCGGCCCGGAGCAGTGTCCGCTGACCGGGTCCCCGGCGCCCCGGACCCCGGCGCCCGGCGAGGCGCGCTCACCTGGTAGATCATGACTTTGAAGTTGCGGCGCCGCAGCAGCTCGGCCTCGTTGGCCTCCAGCCTCTTGATCTGCGCGGCCTGGCGCTCCAGGCTGCCGCGCACGGTCTTGACGTGCACGCTGACCTTGCGCACCTTGTCCAGCAGCTTCCCCACCGTGCCCCCGGCGGCGGCGTGTGCGCGGCCCAGCTTGGCCAGCTCGGCCTGGATGCTGTGCACCGCGCCCTCCATCTCCGCCTGCCGCTCCTCCAGCTGCGCCTGGGTCAGCTGGATCTGGTCCACGGCGCCGATGATCTTGTCCAGCAGGCTGAGCACCAGCACGCCGTTCACCTGGTCCGCCTTGATCAGCTCCTCCGCGCCGGACCCCGACGGCTCCTCGGCAGCCGGGGCGCCTGCGGCGGGGACCTCGGAGGCCTCGGCCGGGTCCGCGTACCCCGCGAACGGGGGCTCCACGATGTGCAGCGTGACGTCCTCCATGGCTGCCCGGGGCTGACCGGAGGCGGCGGGCGACGCGGAGCGGGCGGAGGCGGCGGCGGCGGCGGCGGCGCGGGGCAGGAGCGCGGGGAGCCGGGCGCGCAGGAAACGCGAGCCACGTCCGTGCGCCCCGGGACTGCGGCCAGCACTGCCCGCGCCGGGAGACCCGGCCGCGCCCATTGGCTGGCCGCGCCCAGAGAGGACGGGGCCTCGGGGGCCCCAGGGCCGCGCCCATTGGCTGGCCGCGCCTAGAGGTGGGGCCGCGAGGACCCATCGCCGCGCCCATTGGCTGTCCCCGCCCAGAGAGGGTGGGGCAGGGCGCCGCCCCGGCCTGGATGGTTGGGATGCTTGGAGCTCGGGGGCCCGGGCGGGGCGCAGGAATGCGGGCCGGGGAGGAGCCGGGCGCTGAGCCCGCTCCGCTTTCTTCGCGCTGCTTTGGGCTTTAGGTCCAGCGCGGAATCAGGAGGGGTCAGCGAGGCCCCGAGGTTCCCTACAGGCCAGTGTGGGCCCTGCCCCGCCTCGGTCAGTCCCGCCGCCGCCCTCGAACCCGGGGCGCTGGGGGCAAGGTCGCCGGCGTGGTTGTGGAAGAAGCTGCGGGGCGCCTCTAGGTTCCCCATTTCACCCGCCCTGCGCCCCCGCCCCAGAAGTGGGGCGACGCCAGCCTCGGCGGGTCCTTCTGTCTGTGGGTCTCCAGCCCAGAGGGTTAGCAATCCGGGGCACCGCGGAACCCCACCGGCTCTCTGCCAGGCGGGGAGCGGGGTCCTGGGGGGAGGCAACAGACGCGCCGGGGTCCACACACGGCCTTTCACCGGCTCGGGGAGGGGCGCCTGACGTCTCCCGGCCCGCCCGCCGAGCATGAACCGACGCAGGCCGCGCGGGTGCGGCGGCAGAGAGGGTCCTGAGCGGCCCCTGACCGGGCCCGGGCCTAGGCCCGCGCGTGCGCCCTGCGTCCTGCAGCGCCGCCCCCATTCGACTGAAACGCTGCGCACTTTTCCCTGCTTGGGAAACCGCGCTGGTTGGGGGGGGGGGCAGCGAGGCGCGCAGCCAGATATCGCTCCGGGCTGGCACCCATTGTCGCTGGGAGGAGAGGACGGAGAACCGAGCCAGAGGGACCGCCGCCCGGAAAAGAGGCAGGCTGGACACGGAACCCAGCCCCTTCCCCGACAGAGCTGCTTCCTCCGAGGAACAGGTGGTTTTCTCATTTGAAGTTCAAGGAGAGTTAACTTAGAAAAAACACATAGGGTATTTTCATACAGCGGCGGGAACTGGCACGTTGTCAACACAGCTAAGAATCTAAGAGAAATTGCTAGGCCTGGTGGCTCATGCCTGTCATCCCAGCAACTCTGGGAGGCTGAGGCAGGAGGATTGCAAGTTTGAACCCCGCCTGGAACATTGAGCGACTCAGCAAGGCCCTGTCTAGAAACGAAAAATAAAAATAGGGTTGGGATGTACCTCGGTTGAAGGCCCTGGGCTCGATCCTCAATACCACCAATAAAAAATTTTTCAAAGAAAAATATATTATAGAAATTTTAGTTCCTTCTATTGAAGGCTTAAAAAGCTTTGACAGCCGGGGATTTAGCTCAGTGGTTCCGCCTCCTGCCTCCTAAGTGCAAGGTCCCGAGTTCAATATTCGGTACCAAAAAAAAAAAAAGTTTACAAATAGAGACAGTGGAAGACTTTATTGGGCGTTCAGAATGTTTCTGCCTTAAAAATCAATGTGACTGGGCTGGGGATTTAGCTCAGTGGTTTCGCCGCCTGCTGCGCAAGCACAAGGACCTGAGTTCGATCCCCAGTACCAAAAAAAAAAAATTACTTATAGCCGATATGCCGCATGCAGGTAGCAAACGGTACACAAAGGAAAAGAAGTGTTATTTCCCTCCTTCCTGGGACATAATGCTAGGATTCTCTTGCTGAATCTTCTGCAGAAAATGCCTGCATATACGCATTTCAGTACTGCTTTCTTATTTTAGAGATTGCTCCACTATATCAGCACATGTAGAACTCCCTCGTATTTTTTTTTCTGAGACAGCATCTCACTCTGTAGTTCAGGCTGGGCTCAAACTCACTGTGTAGCCCAGGCTGGCCTCAAACTCGCAGTGATCCTCCTGCCTCGGCCTCCCGAGTGCTGGGACTGTAGGCGAGCACCATCATGCCTGGCTTAGAACTGCCCTGCCTTTAGGGAATGGTTCCACCACACTTATGAGGCAATTCCCTGCCCAGGGACGTGTCTGATTACATTGTGTTCACAGCGGGAATCGAGCAGGCCCCGTGGACTGAGGAGTCTTGTGGCTGCGGCGGAGCCCACCAGGCATGGATTCCAGTGTGGTCGATGGTTTCACGCTCGCTAAAGGGAACGGAGCCCAGGCCACGCGGGCTTTCTGCTCCAGCTCTGCGGAGAGGAATGTCGGCAGCGGTGGATGAGTCAGGTCCTGTCCAGGGCTGGCCGGCCAGCGCCGCTGACTCGCCCTCCTTGGCGGAGCTGCTGGAGAGGCCCTGTGCCGACCGACAGCCGCAGACCCGGCTGCGTCCGGCAGGGGGCGCTGAAAACGCGCGGCTGCTCTCTGGGCCTCCGCTCCCAGCCCGGGAACGCGACCGCGCTCTGGGCCCAGTAAACAAAGCCAGGCACCAGCTGCGACCTACCCCGTCGCGCCTTGTCCGTACGGGTGTGCAATGAGTGTGACAGTGGCCAGGAGCCCCGGGCAAGGCCCGCATGCACCCAAGGCCTCGTGCAGCACGGCGGGTGCTTGGTCCCGGGCTTCCATGCAGCAGCGGTGGGGTGCTTTGTCTTCACCCCAGAGGAGCACAGACCGGCCCTCAGTAGCTGTCGCACAGCTGCCACAGCAGAGTGACAGGTTTTCACCAGCTTTATAGGCAATGTTCTTATGTTTGCTTGAGACAGGGTCTCAGCATGTAGCCCAGGCTGCCCTTGAACTCACAGCGATCTTCCTGCCTCAGCCTCCTGAGTAGATGGGGTTACAGGTGTGCACCACCATGCCCGACACTCTCTTCTAAACCAGACAATTCTGTTAAACCAGACAATCATTTATTTTATTTATTTATTTGTTTGGCTTCTTTTTTTGTTTTTTTGTTTTTTTTGTTTTTTGGTTTTGGTACCAGGGATCGAACTTGGGACCTTGTGCTTTCCAGGCAGGCACCAGAACCACTGAGCTAAATCCCTGGCCCTATTTGTTTGTTTTTGAGACAGGGTCTCCCTTTGTAGTTCAGGCTGGCCTCGAACTCAGGCGATCCTCCTGCCTCAGCCTCCTGAATGCTGGGATCACAGGCATGTGCCACCACGCCCAGTTGATTGTCTTCTACAACAGCTATGGCCAGTCCCTGAGCCGCATTTCAGCCCTTAAATCCCTACTGTTTGTCCCAAAGTTGGCTTCCTTGGGCCTCAGAGCAGCCACTGAGGGCCAGGTGCAATGGCACATGCCTGCAGGCCCAGCTACCTGGGAGCTGAGGCAGGAGGCTCACAAGTTCAAGGCCAGCCCTGGCAACATAATGAGACCCTGTCTGGAAGGAAAAGAAAAAGAAAAACAGAATCACCAACAGACTGCATACCCCCGTCTCTCCTGTCTGATTTGATCTGGATACTGCACCATCTACACCACCAGTTTGGCCTTGGCCTTGGGACATCATAAGCTTTTTTGTTTCTTATCTCATTTGTTAGCTTATTTTTTCTTCCTTTCATTTTCTTTTTTAACACCTTCCTGCGGGCTTGAACCACCAGTGGAACACCCATGACTGTCCCCTTGGGTAGCTTGTACCACCCGCTGGAACTGTCCATGTGCCCGAGTGGACAGCCACGCGTGTGCCGTGGGTGGTTCAGAGCTGCCTGGAAGCCAGACATATGAATTCCGGCCTCCTCATGAACATGTCAGAACAGTAACTGCATGTGTGCTTGTGTGCTTGTGTGCATGTGTGTGCGCGCACACCCCCCCCTGGGGATTGAACCCAGGGTCTTCACACTGAGCGACATCCACAGCTCTTTTTATTTTTTGAGATAGGGTCTTGCTAAGTCACTAAGTTGCCCAGGCTGGACTTGAATTTGACATCCTCCTGTCTCAGCCTCCCAGAGTGCTGGATTTACTGGCCCATGCCACCACACTCAGCTCTAATAACAGCTTTTAAAACTTCTGAAAAGGAAAAAAAAAAGGCTGTTGTGGCTTTCCTGAAAATAGTATGCCCAGGATGTACTTTTATCTCATTTTTTCCTCTTTCACTTGGCCCGAGCTCTCTCTCCAGAGCCAGTTTCTCCCTCACTCTTTACTTTTACTTTTTCAAATAAACTTTGTCACTGCTTAAAAAATAAAATAAAGTGGAAGCCAGATGTAGTAGTGCACACCTATAATCCCAGCACCTGGGAGGCTGAGGCAGGAGGATCACTGTGAGTTGGAAGACAGAGCTGGACTACATAGTTCAAGGCCAGCCTGAACTACATAATGAGACCCTTTCTCCAAAAAGTAAACAAAAATTAAAAATAGAAAAAAAGCAGTTTTATGGAGACGTAATTCATGTCCCACTAAAAGTGTGTGGCACAAGTCAGGGTTTTAGTATATTCACAGGGTTGTGCAACTGCAGTTGATTTTAGAAGTTCTCATCACCCCAGAAGGAACTCTCATCAGATGAAAACAAACTCAGCTAAAGGGGAGAGAGATGTGACTCAAACCCTGTCTCACAGGCCGGTAGGTCGGCTGCCTTGGGGTGGGGAAGCAGAGACAGGCCGGCCTCACTGGAGGGGCTTGGCAGGAAGAGCTTTCCTTTCCCAGAGAGGGACCCAGCCCGCCAGAGAGACCCAGGTGGCAGACTGGGCGTGAGACGGCTGCCCTGCAGGAAGGGCCACCGGCCTGAGCAGCGAGCTGTGGAGGACAGCAGTGGGGTCACTGCACCCTGTGCCAGCGTCTGAGGGGACCCAATGCGCAGCTGTGGGCACAGGATGGGGACTGGAGGGGTCCGTGCTGTCCCTTAGCGGTCACTCTCTGTCCTCTGGTCCCTAGTCCCCAGCAACA